GACAGTGCAGCATCCAACTTTGAGGACAACAAACACTATTCATGTATTTATTATCTTCATGACGATCTCATATAATATAAGGATAGATGTTTCAGTGCATATTTTACATATTTCTGTTGGGTTTAGTCCCGTAACATATCTTATTTCTTTTTCACAACAAATCCTGATATATTAAATAGCAATAGCAAATATTCCTATGTCAGCATCAACTTATTTCTATAATTCAATGATATCAGCATACTTCCCAAAATTTTAGCCCACCCAAGTGCGGTTATATACTGGTCGTACAATTGAATTGTCTTGTTTTGAGGTAGACCGCTCAATAGTATATCATCATTTTAGAGATGATATGATAAAACATCTGATTGATGAATAAGTTTCTTTTGATGATATCTGTATGATACATGCATTCTATGTTGACATGAAAAATGAAGTGGAAGAACCTAATTTTGATTGATCTTATTGTGTTTGTCAGCACGACTTAGGGTTGTAAACGAGTCGAGCTCAGCTTTAGACATGCTTAACTCAAGCTAGGCTCATTCCTCAAAATACGATCTCGATCTCGAGCTTGAGTAGAGCTCAAATGACTAGCTCAAGCTCTGCTCATGGAATGGCAGGCTCGCAAGCTCGAAAAAAATTATCTTAGACACTCGCCAAAAAAACCATCAAAGTGATTGATGATGAGAAGTAAACACATTTTATAACCGTTTTTGACAGTGCAGCATCCAACTTTGAGGACAACAAACACTATTCATGTATCTATGATCTTCATGACGATTTCATATAATATAAGGATAGATGTTTCAGTGCATATTTTACATATTTCTGTTGGGTTTAGTCCCGTAACATATCTTATTTCTTTTTCACAACAAATCCTGATATATTAAATAGCAATAGCAAATATTCCTATGTCAGCATCAACTTATTTCTATAATTCAATGATATCAGCATACTTCCCAAAATTTTAGCCCACCTAAGTGGATTTAAAAAATTTGAGCTCAGCTTTAGACATGCTTAACTCAAGCTAGGCTCATTCCTCAAAATACGATCTCGATCTCGAGCTTGAGTAGAGCTCAAATGACTAGCTCAAGCTCTGCTCATGGAATGGCAGGCTCGCAAGCTCGAAAAAAATTATCTTAGACACTCGCCAAAAAAACCATCAAAGTGATTGATGATGAGAGAGAGCAAGGCTGCTACAGCTCACTTCAAAAGGCACTGGCGTGGCAAAAATTCAGCTAGACAAGCCGGCTCACGAGCCAAGAAGCAAGCCTCAGTGATCTCAAGCTTGTTCAATAAATGAGCTTAAGCTTGAGCTTGGGCTCAAGCTCGTGGCTCATTAAGCTCATTTAATGAGTTGAGCTTAGGAAAGCTCGCGAGCTGGCTTGGCTCATTTACACCAAATACCAAGAGTTAAAAGTTCGTGGGTCCTCTAAGGTTGAACAATTTTGATTTCAAACTAAAATTAAAATATTGGGCCATTTACATACATACCACCCAATTTCTATGCAGTTACATATCTAACTTGTCACCATTTTAAATTTTAAAAAGTGAAATGCACATTTTCATGCATAAGAAAGGTAGCATGTATGTAAGAATTAAAGTTTAGGTGTTAGATATGTAAAAGCATAGGAATTGAGTGGTATGTATGTAAATTTTCCTAAAATATTATAACTTCTTCAATTTAAAAGAAGCACAAGAATCTGGCGCTAATATTATTAAACAGCACAAAATGATGAATTGAAGATCTATGAAATCAATAACTTCAGTAAAGAAGTGGCAAACCACTCCAATCTCGACCATTTAAACTTTAAACCAAGATAAAGGTAAACGTAATATCACACGAGATCTTAATAAACCTCCTCAAGAAATCCAAGATAAAGACAAACGAAACAACTAAATATCCTCAAGTAGATTATAATGTTTGTCTTAACTTATTTGAACAAAATCTCCCTTTATTAAGTGTTTATAATGCTTTGTTGTTACCTTCTGAGCTTCGTAAAACTCTGAAAGCATTGTTTGAATTTACTAAGGAAAAGTTAAAATGACTTTCTCTTACCTCTTCAAATAATGAGTGCTTGCTAAAAAGTGATAGATTAAATTCAAATGATTTTGCAAAAAAGGCTTTTTCAATTCATTCATGATGGGCTTATATAGAGCCTTACAAAGTCCATTTACAAATAAATCTCTATATTTCATCTATTTATAAATATGATCTTGCATCAGATATAAATCTCAACACTTCCCCTCAAAATGGGTAAAAGATATTCACTAAGCCCATCTTGTAACATAACCTAGATAAATCTAAAGAGCTAAGTCCCTTGGTGAGGCAATTTGCCACTTGCTCTCCAGTTGTTGCATGACAAAGCTCCAGTAATTTGTTATTCAGCTTTTCCTTGATAAAGAACCTATTTGGTTCTATCATGTTGCACCGAATTGTTAGCAATATTGATTGTCGACCTGTCACACCACAACTTCATTAGAGTTCCTTGATCCACTTTGAGTTCAACCAACAAGGCTTTCAACCACATCATCTCAGCAACTCCTAATGCTATGACCTTATATTATGCCTCTGCTGTTGATCTTTCTACAATTGAATGTTTCTTGCTCTTCCATGAAACCAAGTTGCCACCAACATACATGCAGTATCGTGATGTGGATCGTTTTTCATCAGCACAATTTGCCCAGTCAATCACAAAAGCCCTCAATATTTACATGCACATTCTTCCTAAATATTAACCATTTCTCTTGTGCAACTTCAGATACCTCAAATTGATACATAGCATTCATATGGCCCTTCCTTAGATCATGCATGTAGAGGCTCACCAAACTTGCCACAAAAAAGATATCAGGTCGAATGTGGCACAGATAAATCAGGCGGCCCACCAGCCTTTGGTACCTCTCACGATCAACTAATTCACTTGTCTCTTTACTGAGCTTGACCTTTGGATCAATTGGAGAGACTGTTGCCTTGCACCCCCACATATCTATCTCTGTGAGAAGATCCAGTACATACTTTCTCTAGGACAGGATCATCCCCTCAAGTCCATGGGTCACTTCAATCCCAATAAACTATCTGAGTTGTCCTAGATCCTTAGCCTCAAATTGCTTCCCCAATCTTCCCTTAAGTTAAGCAATCTTTGTTTTATCATCACCAGTAATAATTATGTCATCTACATACACATCAGGTATGGTAGTATGACATTTATGTTGCCAAAAGAGCACAATGTGGTCTAAATTGATCTGTTGATATCCCATGCCAACCATCGTCATTCTAAACTTGTCAAATCAGACTCGAGAAGACCGCTTCAAGACATACAATGACTTCTTGAGCCTACACACCTTGCCCACCATCTGGGATGTATTGAAACCTTGTGGAATGTCCATATATACCTCCTCCAGTAGCTCTCCATGAAGAAATAACATTCTTCACATTCAATTGGTGGGTCTCCATCCGCCATTTAGGGCCAAAGAAGCCGGTGTCCTCACCGTGATCATCTTTACAACTAGTGCAAAGGTTTCATCTTAGTCAATGACATGCGTTTAATTGTACTCTTTTGTCACTAGTCGTGTGTTGTACCTCTCCACCCTCCCTTTTGGAGTTTGTTTCATCGTGAAGTCCCACTTGCTTCCAACTGCCTTCTTCCCCGCTGGTAGTGGTAGAATCTCCCATGTTTGGTTTTTATCAAGAGCTCCAAGCTCTTCATGCATTGCCACTTTCTACTTGGGATCCTCTTTAGCAATCTGTCAATACTTGGGTATAACAAACAGAGTCCAATGATACAATGAATGCTCCATGCAATGGTAAGATGTTATAATAAGAAATAAAATTAGCAATGTCCACTTCTCAGTCAAAACGATCAGGAGGATGCTCTGCATTGCTGCGGTAGGTCCTCCTTAATGTTGGGGAGGTAGGAGTGGACGGACAAGGAATAATATCACTTGGGAGCTTTAAATCAAGTGTGGATGGAGTATGTGTCTCAAGAGTTAAGAAAGACCAAGGCAAGAGACGTATTGGCATGGCAGACTCTATCCCCTCGATTTGCTTCTTCCTTCGTGCATACACATTTAGCTCACATTCAGCCCGAATCCCACCACCTCTAGTTTCAATCTCCTCGATTTATCTCCTCAGTTGATTCATCCCACGTCACAGGTCATGCATTGATCCCACTTGCATCACTCCATCACCACTACTACTACTCTCTCTCTCTCTTGCCTCATATCTCCAACGGATGTTGAGTCGCCAAAGGGTGAATTCACCTCTAGAGTGTAGTATGGTTCAAACTATTTAAATGACATATCAATACTCACAAAGAGTCACTTCTCAATCAAGTCCAACAGATATAACCCTTCTGAGTAGCAGACCAACCCATGAGCACACATTTCACAGTTCAGAGATGGAACTTCCCTATAGATGGTTTATTTTCTTTCACAAAGCATACACATCCAAATACATTCAGTAGAATGATCACACTATTATCTCCTTTCAACATCTGACAAGGAGACTTCCACTCTAGCACTTTTGAGGGCATCCTGTTAATCAATTGAGCAGGTATCAACACTGCTTGCCCCCATAACTGTTGTGGGGCATTCATTGTCGTCATTATGTTGCATACTACCTCTAGATGTCGATTATATCTCTCTGCTACTCAATTTTGTCCTGAAGTGTAAGGGCATGTGGTTCGGTGATGTATCCTTTAGGTTGAAAGGTAGTTTCCAAATATTTTGTTGATATATTGTCATATTATCATATCTCAGTGTCTTCACAACAACACCATATTGGGTCTGGATTGTCTTATGGAAATATTTAAAGCAAGCAACCACCTCACTATTCTGCATCATCAAGTATATTCAGGTAACATGAGAAAAACAATCAATAAATATAACGAAATAACGATAACCATTCATAGATTTAATAGAACAAGGTCTTCATACTTCAAAATGAAACAAATCAAACAAACCAAAACTAACATAAGAGCTCGTAGTGATCTTGCCACACTCACAAACATCACACACCAGTTTCTCCTTATTTGTCTTTTCCTACATAGATGGATACAACCGACATAGTAAACTATGACTAGAATGTCTCATACGTCTGTGATGTAGCAATAACACATCCTCGACGTTCCTCCCAAATTCTCCTACTGCAGAGCTTTCCGCTATGGATGTCAGAGCTGAGTTCATCCCCTCTCGGTCCAAGTACTAGAGTTTGTTATGCCACTTTTCAATCCCAAGTGTTTGGCCCATCCCTTTCTCTTCGAAGATCTCCTGACGAATATAAAAAAATAATGCATTTTAGCAGGAGAATAAAGGCAATAATGGATAAGAGGTTTACTGGAAAAAAAGCATGCACAAAATTGGACAAGTCAATTGATTTGTACATTTCACTATACTCTTATCAACTATAGGTTGCATTGTACCATCAGCAGTTTGTATACTCTCCGGTACTGCTAGATGAGTATATAAAGAGAACTCTCCAGAAGTACCTATCACTTAACGAGAAGCACCAGAATCTATGATCCATCCTGATGATTCTATGGTGGATATAAAGGCAAGAGCAAGTGTGCTACCAGTACATTTGCTGAAGCAAGCATTAGTGACAATGTTACCCCTTGACGTCGATGAATTTGAAACATCCTCAGCTCCATCTCCTACTGCTTTCTACTTCCTCTTCAACGACACCAGGCTCCATATCCTACTGCTTTCTACTTCCTCTTCAACGACACCAGACACTCATAATCCTCACTAGTAAAGATCACATCAATCTCTCCCTCATCCTCTGCTACTATCAGATTTGCCCAGTAGCTCCTTCCACTTTTCCGACCCCGACAACCACAACCTCGACCTCCACTTTGTCCACGTCCACCTGTCTCTTTCTCATTATGTGACTTAAGACTGACCCTGCTCAGATGTCCAACTTCACCACAATTGTAGCACTTCCGAATCTCCCCCTAGATATCTAGCATACCTCGACTCGCAGTTGCCAATGCTAATCGTGCAACAGAAAAATCACTCGGTTCAGAGTGTAGCTTCATGCGACTCCTCCTGTATCATCGCTGCAATGGCCTCATCTAGTGTAGGAATAGTTGCCTGAGCTAAGAGAATTGATCACCTTTGGTCAAAAGCCCGGTTTAGATGAGCTAAAAACTGTTGTGCAAAGATTTCTCCCTTCTTACACCCCGGATCACCACAACTCGACATAGTTGAGAAGTGATCAAGATCTTGCCACAACCGTTATATTTCTATAGAGTACTCCTAAATCGATCTATCACCCTGAACCCCTTTATCTCACGTGAATTTAAAACACCCTCATGTGGTTCTTAGTCCTAACACAGTTTCTCTTCAGCATTGCCCATATGTCATTCACCTTCTAAATGCATTCACTGATGTCGCACTTGATGAAATCATCGAATTGAGTAGTCAGGTGTAAATCAATGCGTGTGTACTCCCCCACTCATTCCCCTCAATACTGTCACTCTTTGGCTCGATCTCTGTCAGGTATCATTCTAGTCTATGCCCTACTAGAGCTCCCTTGATACGATGTTGTCAGTCCATCAAGCTTCAAATCCGAAGGAGGGAGATCTTCACATGCATCGGAGCATGTGCTGGCGTAGTGGCTCCTGTCAAGAAGCTAGCTTCCTATCTGAGCCTGACCAAGACCTTCAGAACTTCAGGATCTATGTTCCATAAAATTTTCAATCATTTACCTCTTACACTATCTCTGTCCCCAGATATCCTCAATCATTAAGGTAAATCTAGAGCACACAGAATATACACAGACTTCCTGCCTGACTCCTTTCTCTAGAAGATAATCGCGGAACTTTACTACGTATGAAAAACCATCAGAAGTGGAACCCCGCTCTGCTCCTTCCTCTCGCAGTAAACTTTTGCAGAAGCCCTTCGCGACAGAAATGCTTCGATCCTTCCGAGAAAGTGTTGTGATCCTGTCTTTCTTCTCTATCGCGACCAGAATTCCCGCAAACCCCGATCTCGCTCCTATCGAGATTGTCGCAATCCGTATCCCGTGTCCGACTGCCACGATCCCTTCTGCCCTTTCGCGATCTGCGATCCTGCTCTGCAATGTCGTCTACCTCAATTAATGAAGGACGAAAGATGGATCCCTCCTCACCGATCGTGTCTGTGGCGATTCGTGGAAGAAAGGAATCAATCCCTGTTCTCTGTACCGACGACGACGAGACCCACGAGGGGCGTCGGCAGTGGGCTCTGATACCAAATGGAAATGATTTTGCGAAAAAAGCTTTTTTTTAATTTCATACATAGAGACTTGCAAGGTACATTTACAAATAAATCTTGATATTTTATCTATTTACAAATATGACCCTACATTAAATACAAATTTCAACACAATAGATCCTTCATATTTTTGCCTTGATTTATGATAATACTTTAGGAAACATCATAATTAATAGAGCTAACCTCCTCAGACAACACGACTGCTAAAATATATGTTTCAATATTAAAAAATTGCCTTTAGACAAACTGATGTTACAGGGCTTAAATGAGAATTATCATAACAATAAGTTCAGGACTTACCCGAATTCTGCATTACTGATGATAATACATGCTTCTATGCTTTAGTATGGATGAAATTAACTGCATGAATATGAGAAGTTAACTTCTAATTTACAATATATCAAATATGCTCATGACAAAGAAGAGTTTTTCATTCTTGGATGATTTAAAATTCTCTGTGAATGAGATTAACCAAAATCTATTAATGAAAAAGTTTAAAAGAAGAGGAAAAAAAAATCATATGTTCAGGTATAGAAAACATTTCGACTCAACTGACATAAAAGAGAAATCTTTACACCTAAGATGTCTGATAAACAATTCTACAATCATTCTTTAAACAGAAGCGTTTTCGACGCCCTATCCAAAATCTGGATGGAAACGTAGGTTTCTTTGCCGCACAAAATTCATACTCCGAAGAAAATTAATGGAACAAAAGAACAAGCATATTGCTATGGTACATACCAGGCATCATTGCTGCCACAAATGATCATGTATTACAATCACCACTGTGAGAGCTATGTGGCAAGAACTGAAGGAGAACTGTGACGAGCATTGTTACGGCCAAGGCCTAAACCCAATCCAAATGGAATCCTACTGCCTCTGCTGTTGTTGTTGCTGTTGCTGCCACTGGAGCTGTTTTTACCATGGCTACACTTTGATGTATGTACATGCCCATGAGTCCGTGGAGAGCCTTTGGAGTCGAAGTTGATGCTAAGATGGCCGTTGCCATTTGCTTGGTTGGCTTGGTTCTCGCTGTTCTGTGAAACTATGTTCGTCATCTGAATCATGTTTGTCTCTTCAGAATTCAAATTGTGATAGGCCACTTCTACGTCCTCATTATAGCCCTTTATTAAGAAATCCGAACAATTTTTGTAAACCCCATGGTCATACGGGTTTCGAAACTTGCCCCCTGGTCCCCTAAGATAGCTATATCGCAATCCATTGGCCATTTCGTTTGTTGTGATATTTCTTGAAATCTGTGTGAAATAAGGTAAATCAAATTGAAAGTTTTAGGGTTCTTACGTTACAGTCTATCTCACTGGGGAGATTGAAGTAAGAATTAAGGTCTACATTGCAATCTAAAATGAAAGGAAAAAAATAATCCTGAAGTTAACCCAATTGAACAAGGTTGCTGATGATGATGACAATGATGGCGGTGATGATGATGAGGGAGTTTTTTTTTTCTTGGTTGCATGCATAATTTATAATGGTAGAAATAAATTTAAGGAAAGATAACACAGTTAATATCTTCTGCATACCTGTTGTGCCTGTACGATAGTTAATACTGCGACTCCAAAGAAAAGAAGGAAGACCACTACAAGAAATGACAATGCGCCTGGATGATGGATAGCAGAATAACTCAGCCATGCGCCAAAAGAAGACGGGGCTGTTGGATCTGTTGCAATTCCTGCATTAAGTTTTAATGGTCCAATGATTCAGATTAATATTCCTTGTAAAATAATAAAAATAAATAAAAGAGAAAATGATGGAAGAACCATACTTATAAATGTAACAGAACCAGTAATAACCATAGCAGTGACCTCAAGAAGAAGAAAAATGAAGAAATTCCATTTATTTCTCTGTAGTAAATCAAAGTTTGAAGTAAATTATAGGAGCATAAAATTATTCCTGACAGTATAATAAAATCATTGCATTGAAATGTAAAGCGCAACAGAAAATAAGAAAATAGTAAAAGAATCAATTAGAGAACCTTGCCAATGCAATTTGATACCCATGGGCAGTGATGATCAAACTGCTCAACACATCTATCACATGTGGAACAGTGCTTTGCCCGCAAAGGCCTAACTATCTGACAAAATGCTAATAATATCAGTTGAATCAAAAGTTCGAATAATATCAACTGAACTGGCTAACATAAACGAAGTTCACAAAATTAGCTACCTTGCAAGTTGCACATAGTTGAGACCAATTTCCTGCCAGTAAAGCAGGACTTTCGAGTTCTGTCTTTAGGAGAGGTTCCTATAAAACAAATGAGAACAATTAAATGTGTCATTTTTCTTAAGCATGGAAGCAAAAGATGTCTTCAAAAGAGCAGAGAAAATATGATCTCCCAAACTTTACCACCAAAGAGATTAACAAGAGGATAAAAATTTCTTTAGAGCTAACGCTGTATAGGATTCCCCCAAGAAGGGGGGGAAATGCTATAGGACTGAACATTCTGTCCAGTTGCTTAAACTTTAGGTTAACTTAAATACATTTATATGAGAAGCTATATTTGGCCTTTATGGCATGCATGATTTCAATAACTTTTAAGATTATTTGTTAATGAATCAAATCTATCAAAATGACTTTGAGAGATTTCTCCGACTACATGCATAGGAAACTGTGAATTCATGTGTAGAGACATAATCAAATACTTTAATAAATATGAGATTGTGACGATATTTAGCCTATATTTGATAGATGGTTTTGATTGCTGAAATACATTTAAAACTTGACTTTCAAGAAGGCTTTATATATAGTTCAATCATCCTCTTTTTTTATTATTATTCTTATCTATGAAAATTAATAAAACTTAACGTTATTGATCAAAATAATTTTGTCATTTTAAATTGGTAGAGTATGTAAAGCACAGGAGGATGGTCCTCTCTCTCTCACTCTACCGCGGGGCTGCAGGGGTCCAAAACCATGCTGCCAGTTCAGTCGGGAAGCTGAACCGGTCGGGCGCTAATTAGGGATGCACCACACTGCCCTAGCATCTGCCCCTAACCAAGGCACCTCTACCCAAAAAATTTCATTCCTATCCCAAACACAGCCAAATTTTATCTGTAACCCTAATTTACCCTAGCTGATTTTCAAAATCAGCAACCTTAAATCAAATTTTTACGCCCACTTCACCTCCCAACTCTAAACCCAAACCATGCCACCAAGGAGATACATGTCCGAGTCTACCTGGGAAGAGATACAGTGCGAGATCCCGTGACTTCAGCGGAAGCTTGCGGACATTAAGAATGAAACACAAGATGGACTTACCCCCGATGGTGACAAGGAAAGTCGAAGAGGCGAAAGAGACGAGAATTTCAACATCTTCGATAGGGAGTATATCAGTGATGATGAAGCAAAAAGGTCATAACGCTTTGGAATCCAGTATTAGAGGAGACCAAGAGAGGATCCTAAATATGGAGGACATAGGGACTTAGGAATAAAGGTGGATCTACTAAAGGTCGATAGAGGTATGAATCCAGTTGATTTAATCAAATGGTTACAATCAGCTAAGAGGATCTTTGAGTACAAAAAGGTGTCAGAAAATAAAAGAGTGAAGCCTGTAGCTTTCAAATAGAGAAAAAACGAATCCTTGTGGTGGGACAAATTGCAGAGACAGAAAAAAAGAGAAGGCATTGATGAGATTTTAAAGTGAAAAAAGACGAAGAAAATAATGTAGAATAAATATCTCCCACCCCACAACTACAAGGATGTATTTCTGAGACTCTACCACCTGCAGTAGAGAGACCTATCAATGAAGCAGTTCATGGAGTCGTTTGGTCATTGCAGATAAAGAGTGATTTGGTCAAGCCAGAGGAACACACCATAGCCCATTATCTGGGGGGTCTGAAGCTCGCTATTAGCAATGTAGTGTAGTTGCAGCCTTATAGTTCACTTAGAGATGTCCAAACCTTAGCTTTGAATGTGGAGAGGTAGCAGAAACAGAAGGCAACCACTTCCAGTCAGGCAGCCACCTACAGTTGAAGACACCGATAGGAACACGCCACAAGGAGTTAAAAAAGCTAGTTCAGATAAGAACAGAGTCGCCTCTAGTGAGAAAAAACCTAAAAAGAGTAGCACGTCTAGTGATAAAAAATGCTTTAAATGTCATGATTTTGGGCACATTACCTATAGCTACCCGATGAGTCGAGTTGTGTATTTTTACAGAGCAGGGCAGCATGAAGGAGGTTAGCGATGAGGAGACAGTTGAGGAACAAAGTTTTCCACTAATGAAGGTGAGATGCTCGTGGTTTGACGGGTCCTACAAACCTAGGATTTGAGGGTAGTTGTAGTTTTGTCAGTTACAAAAGAAGTGTGATTTGGTCAAGCCAGAACAACACATAATAACCCGTTATTAAGGGAGCCTGAAGCCCGCTATTAGCAAAGTAGTGTAGTTGTAGTCTTATTGATTACTTAGAGATATCCAGACCTTAGCTTTGAAAGTGGAGAGGCATCAGAAACAGAACAGCCAACCATCATCAGATCGGTGGCCACCCACATTTGAAGACACCGGTAAGAGCATGCTTCATGGAGTTAAGAAAAATGGTTTGGATAAGGACAGAGCCACCCCTAATGAGAAAATACCTAAAAAGAGAAACATGTCTACTCCGCCAGAAAATGCTTCAAATGTCACGGGTTTGGGCACATTGCCTCTAGCTACCCTGACGAGCTGAGCTGCGTATTTTTACAAAGTAGGATGCCATGGAGGAAGTTAGGGACGAGGACACAGTTGAACAAAGTGAGGTGTACCATCTCCCACCGGATGAAGTAGAGATGCCCGTGGTTCAACAGGTCCTACAGACCGAGGATATGAGGGATTCACAGTGACTTCGTCACAATATATTCTACATCATTGCATTGTGACCGGAAAGGTATGTAGTTTCATCATTTGATGGAAGAAGCGGTAAAAACGTGGCATCTACATGGATTGTGAAGAAGTTAGGCCTCGTGACTCAGAGGCACTTTCAACCATATTCTCTGACGTGGTTAAAGAAAGAAAACAAGGTCAACATTGACTGGAGGTGCTTAATAGAGTTATCGATTGGGAACCATCTACAGGATTAGGTGTAATGTGATGTGGTCCACATGAATACCAACCACCTTTTTTGGGGGAGACCGTGACAATTAGACAATAGGACATAGCACGATGGATTCGGGAATACCTACTCAATCACCAATGAGGGGAAGTGTATCATCCTACTTCATTCGACGGAGCCTGAGATCACAGCAACCCTTGCCCGCAAAGCAACATCAGTGGGACCAATTTCAAAGGATGATAAAACCGAGACACCATATCCAAACAAGTGATGGTCACAACAGAGAACATTTCAGGATATCATGGTAGATATCTTAACACCATGGCCACCACCGTTTAAGGAGGCTCAGATTACCCTCACGTCAGAGTAAGATTGAACTGACCATGGATTACTTTGGGAGGATTCAACAGCTTATGCAAGACACAAACACAACTCCGTTCTGTAGTTAAAGCCCACGAGAGTGGATCAATATGAATGTATGCTCGCAAGTTGAGAAAAAATCTCAGATGCTTTTGGGGACGGTGCAGTCACCAGTAGGATCCAAGTGCTTTTCAAACTGCAGTCGAGGAGTCTTTAGCCCGAGAAGTTACAACAGCTCCATCATCGACAAAAAGAGGACAGAAGATTCAACGAATTAAGCCGAAACTCTCCCCTGCCCCCGGAGACTGATCGGGTTGTCGGTTCAGCTAAGGGGTGTCGATTTAGCAAAGAGACTGAACTGATTGGCCCTAATTAGGTTTAGAAGGGCTGCTGCCTCCTCCTTCCCCATCCCCTCTTAGTTATCTTAGATTATTCAAAATATATTGTTATTTGGTTTTAGTGTTCAGTCCTTGTGGCGATTTTTGTTTGGACAACTGCCAATGTCCCCCCTTTCCATTATGAGGTTGTATCTGACGACGATAATGTGCTTTCACTGTAACTCGTCCAACGTTGTGTGTTTCTTCTTCTATCCTCCTTGGTGCCATCTTCCCTATGCCCCCCTCCCCTCTCCATGTTTCCCAGCTACATACCCCACTTCATGCTACTGTCGAACACCCATCCAGAACCCTCCTGCCTGCCGCAACTTCCTCTTACCACCCTACTCCTTTCCCGTCAAACCCAAACGTAAGCCCACCTACAAGATTCCCCTGCTGACTTCCTCCCACTCCCCCCGACTTATCTCTTGTCAAACCAAGTCACAACCCCTACTGTAAGCCTCCATGTCGCCACTTCCCTCTTATCACCCATATTCTCTCCATCCTAGCAACCTGCCATTGCAGCTCTTTATCAACCTCATGAACTTTCTTTGATTTAGATATATTATCGTGTAAATGGCTCATGATTACATTTTTTTATATTACAACCATGCATCCTGATTTTCAGCCGCCTCTTCATTCTTATAAATCACCTCCAAGATGTTAATGTTGATGCATGTGATTGCAATTAATATTCTATGTTGATTGTCTTACTAAGAATATGGATATGAACATTGTAAACCTTCTAGTTCTGCATATGATTGTCTCATAGCTTGCAAGCCCAAGTTTCTTTTTTTCAATTCAAACAAATGCACGCACTCGGCATATGCAAGGCCATGAACCCAGGACTTCTTGGTTGAAAGATATCTAAATCAAAGAAAGTTCATGAGGAGAGAGATCCAAAAACTATATGAGAGAGAAAGATAATCAAAAAATTGAAATGATAGAGATTAGAAAGAGAATAAACTTTTAAAGCAAGCCATTCATAATTTCGTAATTCAAATAACAAACATTCAACCCTTATTTATAGAAATAATAATACAAAATTTAGACAGCTCTTAAATTCCTATTATTTAGTTTAAAGTAAAAATAAATAATCCTAGCAATTAAATAAAGAAAACCTAAAATAGTTTCAAAATATTAGAATATTTATTGATACCTTTCTTGACTTTCTAATCACTACTAATGTTACTCTCAATCTCTCACTCTCTCTCTCTCACACACACACACCTGTACATGTGTCATTAAACATTGACCGAGTAGTGTCGTAACATTTTCAAGCTATTAAGATGTACTAGAGCATCATACAATAAAAGAATAAAATATACCATTTAATTTTGTCGGCTAACATTCTAAATATGATATCAAACTACAAGCATGGCACACATTCATATTATGCACCGACGAGTCGTTCATATTAATCCACTACAAGCATGATACACATTGGGGCTTCTATTAAACATGCAGATAAAAGGTCCTACCTTTGAATTTAGAGGGAAAAACATCTAGCATAACAACATAAATTAACAGCTAGAACTTTAGCTAAAAGAAAGAAGAACTTTCACAAATATTCCTTAGCTAAAAAAATTAGTGGAAAAAAAAATTACAGTACAAATTAGAGCATTTATTGATGAAACAAACAAAATTAGAGCGCTCACATATTCATATAAAATCATACAGAAGAAAATTCATATTATATCAAAAAAGATAGTTTAACAACTTACATCATCTCTAATGTTCTGTGAATCTCGAACATTTCTTCTGATATATCCAGGGTCTTTCCTGCACCCATAAAATGCAACGCACATTAAGTGACCCAATCAAAAGTGCCACCACAACAAATAGCTTATGAATGTGCACAATATAAATAAAAATATTCAGAGCATCAATCAATTTAAATTTAAATTATTGAAAATGACACAAGAGTGAGATGGTGGCGGCTAGAACTATAGAAAAACAGCAGTGAGATGGTTGTTCTGGGTGGTTGCAGCGAATAAGGGTGGGATGGAGCAATGCGAGTAGGATGGGGAAGGGAAGAGGGAGGATAATCACCACTTTTGGATCGAGATACAACCAGAGCACTACTCAGACCTTTTGATATAACCCTAGAAGGGAAAACATAGACACCGACGGCTGTCCCAAAACAAACACACAAAAAACTAAGATTAGACAAACAAAAACAAATAAATAATCCTAGGATGACTAGAAGTGGGCCCCACTCCCATTAGGTTGCATATCCATGCTACAAGGGTCGGTCGTCCCCTCAGATGTCAGGACCAAATCGGTCATTGTGTGTCTAGGGCTTCAACATGCCAAGGTAGACGTGATGCTTGTGTCAGTCTCTAGAGGTTATGAGAGCTTTGACCTCATTCGTCAAAGCTTGTGCCTCCTAATAGTATAGAGTCAGGTTGGCCACAATGAAGGTGGCAGGAATGTTGTAATCTCTAAGCGTTGGAGGATTTTTTACTGCTCCCTTACAAGCATTTGAATCTCACTGTCGAATGCATTCCCTAAAACACCTGAAAAGAGTTCCTGAATTACAAGTAACCATATATGCTTGTCCAACCATCTGTGTGTACCTTGATGAATTGAATTGAATTTTCATGCCAAGCGTATTATGCAAAGTCCACTAAAAATAGCTCATGGTTACTTATTCCTCTATGAAGTGAAAACAAGTTGAATCTCCCCAAACATTAGTGGCCCTGGCGGTAGGCTATCATCATGTAGTGGCCCTGGTAGGTCAAAAAATCCTAAAACACTCTCTGTAGAGACCGTCCTGTATCTTGTATTAGCTCTTCTATATCACTACCCAATAACATCACCAAAACTGATCCCACTCTCTGTAGAAGATAGGGGAACTATGCACTTTCGATCCTTTCTGAATGAGTAGGTCTTTTTGAACCCATCCTATTGAGTCCTATGATCGAAGTGTCATGATCATTACAATAGAATGTGATAGGCATCCATGGGTACAACATCACAGCACACCTGATCCTACAAATGGTTTCCAATAGAAAACTTCATGAGAAATATTTTGACAATGCTAACCATGTTCTCCTTGTTCAACTAAGTCAGGAAATACGTCTAGAATGTCTCTAAGTAGTGAGACTTAACTTATCCAACATCTATGTAGACGCCACATTCTTACTAATACCTCCATCGCTGATAATTTTGTACATCTTTTCCTTTATAGTACAATGCGTGAAAGATGTTGTAGTAAAGTCACTGGTGCTCTCTCGTGGTCTCAATCTAAAGGATCCATCGAACCACAATCATCTCACCCTCATCAACTGGAAGTTCGTACTCCTCACCATGCTCTTCAGCTACATCCTCCTCGTTCACTTCCTCCACGGCATCCTACTCGGTGAATAAAACAACTCTGCTCATAAGGCAACTGGAAGGTGTGGCCAAATCCATGAAGCATTCCTAACTAAAACTATGTTGAATGTGTTACTTTTCTCTGGTTGCTTCCCACTTTGATCTGCTATGTAATTCTCTTGACCAGTTTTCTCAACTCCCCCAAGTGTGCTCCAACTGATGCCTCCAGTTGTGGGTGGTTATCTCAATGGAGTGGGTGTCTGCCTGCTATATTATCTCTCCACCTTCAGTGCCAAGGGCTGAGCATCACCCATAGACCAATAAGGTTGTAGTCGGACAACAATATCGATGGAGACATTAAAGACTCCCAAGTATCTAGCTATAGTGTGTCCTCAGGCTCTGTCAGCTCACATTTCAGCTTAAACTACACAATTTTTGTTATGAATTCCTCCACTGACAAGTCCCCTTGATGTAATTCATGTAGCCTCAAGAACATGCCCTGGCGATAGTGTTGAAAAAGATAATTCCTCCGCATCTCCTTCATCTTCTCCCAATAATGATCTTGTTTCGACCATCTCTCGTTCTCACTCTCTTCTTCAACTTTGTGTCAAAAAACTTTACTCTCCTATCAGTTAACACCTCTTATTCAAAGATCCGCTTAACAGTCTGTATCCACTCAAGGGAGTCATTCCAGTTTATTCTCCCCTCGAAATCCGATAGGACTTCCATCACTATTAGGTCTCTCTGTCCTCCAACATTCACTTCATCCCTTGGCCTCCTCTAACACTGAATTCCAAAAGGTCGTGGCCTACCTTCCTCTCCACTAGAATCACCCTTATGGAAAGGACTTAGATTTTCTTCCCTCTCCTAGAATCTCGCTATCAAGATCAACAGTGACATCTCTTAGGGGTTCTTTCCTCAAATTCAATAAGTATTTGTTGAAGTCAATGGAGTACCCGCTACACCTCTTCCATTTGTAAGTTCCTGAACGGTGTCCGACACTTGTTTAGCATGGTTAGGGTTTAAGTTTGGGGAGGTGAAGCATCATCAATGGGGGTGATTTAGGGTGGGAAAGAAAAATTTTGGGTGGTTGATTTTAAAAATCTGGAAGGGGAAAGATTATTGGATGGGGTTTGGGATAGTTGTTGATTGATTTTGGTAATCATGGGATAGGTCTAGGGTTCTGCTAGATCTGATATCAAATGATACTGGAGTTAAGCAAAACAATAATGAAAACCTAATATTATTACCAACTTCAAGAAATAAATTACGACAAAACAAACAAAACTCTGAAACTGCAATAAATACAACACTTATACATTAAACGAGGGTGGGTCCAGGTGGAGAGGTGCCAGTTAGGTGGGCTAGAACGTGGCAGCAACAAGTGGGAAGTGGTATAAACAGCGGGTGGGTCATACAGGCAAGTGGCAGCAGCGAGGAGAGATGAGGAACAGTCGACAACAAAGGGGTTGGTTGTCCTAGCCGGCATCATCAGGTGGTTGAGGCAGAAGTAATAGGTATAGGAAAGGGTCGCTGTCTGGGTCTGTTGCAGTGAGAAAAGGGAGATTTTGTGTGATGACAGCAAGGATTCCGGGGGGGTTGCGGTGGCAGCAACAAAGGTGGAGGAAGGGGATGGTGGAAGTTGAAATCGTCCAAAAATAGCAAGGGAACGATTATTTTGTGTGGTTGCACGAGGAAGGGTGGTTGAGAGAAATGCACGAAAGATGGGGAAGGAAAGAGGTAGAAAAATCGCAACCTCAAGAGCGAGATACAATCAGAGCACTATTCCAACCCTTAGATACAACCTTAGGAGAAAAAATAGAGACGCCAACGGCTTTTCTAAAACAAACACACAAAAAACTAATCTTGGACACCAATAAAAACAAATAAATAGTCCTAAAATAACTAGGAGTGGGTCCCATTCCAAGCCTAGATGGGTCAACCGATCCCTCAAATGTCAGTACCAAACTAGTCCCTATACCCCCGGGGCTTTCTCGTGCCCAAGCAGATGTGACACATGTGTCAGACTCTCGGGATTGGAAGAGCTTCACCCACATTTGTCAAAGTTTCTGTCTCCTCATAGTAAGAAGTTGGGTCGACCATATTGAGGTGGCCAAAAAATTGTAATCGCTAGGGATTCGAGGGTCTTCGACTACGCCTATAAAAGCACATTGATTCCAATGTCGAATGCACTATCCCCAAAAAACACTTGAGAAGGGTTCGAGAATTGCAAGTAAACACCTCTACTTCTCTAAACATCTGCGGGTACCTTGTTATAACTGAACTAAAATTTCATGCCAAGTGTACCATGTAAAGTCTTCAAATAATAACCCAAGATTGGTTCATTCCTCTCTAAAGTGAAGAAAGATTGAATTTCCCCTAATACTAGTATCCCTAGCGATAGGTTGTCGGTCAGAATATCCTGAAACTCTCTCCGTAGTAGTTGCTCTGAGTCTGTTATTAGTTGTTCTATCTCGCTGGCCTCTAATACTAATCTCTCTAGCACCTCTCTGTTGGCAAGAGTGCCTACACCTTCGAACAATGTAAAAGTTAGGAGAACTATGCGCTTTCCATTCTTTCTGAATGAGTAGATGTCCTTAACCACTCATACTAAGTCTTATGATCAAAGTACCACAGTCTCCTCAACATAATTTGGTGGCATCTATAAGTAAATTATCACACCAGACCTGATCATGCTTATAGTTTCCAATGGAAAACTCCACAAGAAATCTTCTAGCAATGCTAACCATATTCTTTTTCAACCAAGTCAGGGAACAAGACTAGGAATGTCTCTGAGTACGGAGACTCAACTTATCCACCATCTGTGTAGATACCACATTCTTACTTCTATCTCTATCGATAATACAGTTGCACACCTATCCCTTTTCAGTGCAACAGGTGTGCAATATGAAGTAGCGAAGCCACTACTGCTCTCCCGTAGTCTCAGTCTGAAGAACTAGTCAAACCAAAAAAATCTCGCCATCATCAACTAGAAGTCGGTACTCACTTTACTCTTCAGCTACCTCCTCCTCGCTTACTTTCTCCGCAACGCCCTACTCGGTGAAAGAAAAAACTCTGCTCGCAGGGCAACTAGAAACTATGCCCAAATTTATGACACCTGAAGCATTTCCTGATTGAAATTGTGTAGTGTGTTACTCTTCTCAGGCTTTTTCTCACTCTGATAAGCTTTGTCATTCTTTTGATCAGTCTTCTCAACTACCCCAGGTGTGCTCTTGTTGATGCTTCCAGTTGTGGGTGACTGTCCCAATGGAGATGAGTGTCTACTCTACTTCTTTTATCTCTCCACCTTCAGTTCAATATCTGAACATCACCCAAATACCAATAAGATTGCAGCTGGACAACATTGTCGATGGAGGACTTCAAGCTTCCCAAGTATCTGGCTATAGTGTGCTCCTTGGGCTTTGTTAGCTTTCACATTTCAACTTAAACTGCTCAAACTCTTT